CCTGCTGGCATCCCGAGGCTCCGAAGAACTTCTGTGCTTCACCCAACGCTTGGAAGACTTGGTGTGTTTCTGGGAGGAAGCGGCGAGCCCCGGGATGGGGTTCAACTACAGCTTCTCTTACCAGCTCGAGTGAGTCCCCCAGGACTGGGTGGCCTTAGGAGGGGGTAGGTGCAGCAGAGCTTCCTGGATGTCATAGCCTGGAATGATTCCCTCGGCCTGGAAACGAGGTTAAGGGTGGGAAACTCTGGGAACGGAGGCGGGGATGGGGGTGGTGTGGAGGTCGCCCCCGGTGGCCGGAGATGGAATAATTCTTCTCCATCAATGGGCTCAGGTGTTACGTTGGAATTAGGACACTACCTGGTCGTGGTAGTCCAAATGCTCTGGTCCCCACGATGTGGACCAAAGAAATCCGAAACTCTCCAATCACCTCCTGCCCTCCCTGCTTGTTCAACCTTTTCTTCCCGGTTCCCGATCGCACAGGGGTGAGTCAAGAAAGTCATGTCGCCTGCACCAGGCCCCCACCGTCCGCGGCTCGGTGCGTTTCTGGTGTTCACTGCCGACTGCGGACACGTCGAGTTTTGTGCCGCTGGAGCTGCGGGTGACGGAGGCCTCAGGATCTCCTCGCTACCACCGCATCATCCATGTCAATGAAGTAGGTAGGTGAGAAGGGATGGGAGCGACATCGGTCGGGGGCGGGGACGGGACACGGGACACGATCCACTTCACTTTCTGCAGTGCTCCTGGACGCCCCCGCGGGGCTGCTGGCGCGCCGGGCAGAAGAGGGCAGCCACGTGGTGCTTCGCTGGCTGCCACCTCCTGGGGCACCTCTGACTACTCACATCCGCTACGAGGTGGACGTGTCGGCAGGCATCCGGGCAGGGGGGACACAAAGGGTGAGAGCCGAGAGAACAGCCCTGCCCAACTTTCCCGAGTCCTGCCCAAAGCCCCACTCCCTCAAGTCGCTCTCCCAGTGCCCAACATCCCAACGCTATTTTTAAACTGCTCTCTTGCCTGACATTTAGACATTAAAAAAATTACATTTATGTATTTGTGGGCTGGGAGGGGGGAGGTGCACACTTGCCACAGTGCACTTGTAGAGGTCAAAGGACAACTTTTGTGAGCTTTCTATTCCCACCACTTGGGTCCACTGAGCCATATCGTCGGCCCATCATACCATTGGAGCTCACAGTAGGCCCTCCACCCCCACTTTGCTCGTGCCTCTTGGGCAACCCATCAGAGCCTCAGCTCCTCTCACAACCTGGTACAGTTTCTTAAAAGAGATCAAGGAGGCCATCTCTGTCAGCTGTCTGTCTCTGCCTTTATACAGCCCAGGGCCAGTTCCTGACTTTGGGGTCCTCTCTCTGACTGGCTGAGCCAAGAACAGGACTTAACAGTTGATACTATTATTGAGCACTTACCCTCAAGTACCCTTCCCATAATTAGGGTGCTAACTAGATGCCTCCGTGCAAGCTCCCACATCCCCCTCTCGCTGGGTGTGCTGCTTAGCTGTCTCCTGGCTCCGTCCGCCCCCAGGTGGAGGTTCTGGAAGGCCGCACTGAGTGTGTACTGAGCAACCTGCGGGGCGGGACGCGCTACACCTTCGCTGTTCGAGCACGCATGGCCGAGCCGAGCTTCAGCGGATTCTGGAGCGCCTGGTCTGAGCCCGCGTCGCTACTGACCGCTAGCGGTGAGGCCCCAGTTCCTCGGGGTGAAGGAGGAGCTGGGCCAAACACCAGGCAAACCTCCCTGACCTTCTTGCCTCCCAGACCTGGACCCTCTCATCTTGACGCTGTCTCTCATTCTCGTCCTCATCTCGCTGTTGCTGACCGTGCTGGCCCTGCTGTCCCACCGTCGGTGAGCCCCTTACCTGAGCTCTAACTTAGACCGTCCCCTGGGATCCCACTCTCTAGAGAAAGCGAAGCTCAGATTGGGGTGAGCACTTGCCCAGGATAACACAGCGTCAGCGCTAGAACTCAATAAGACAACACCCACGCTTGAGCTTCACTCTTGGGCAGCTGCTGGAGTTCCCTTGACCTTAGTGACGGCTCCTTCCTGCATTCCTTTGCGGGGTTCCATTTCCCAATGTCGTCAACTTTGTCAAATCAACCAGAAAGTTTAATGGAAAAGATGTAAGCCAGTCGCTTTAATGACCTGACCAGTCATGCTGAGGTATTTGTAACTCCCAGTGCACTCAAAGCTTTACCCTTCCGGCTTTCCCATAAGTACACATCCTGTTTGCTTTTCATGGCCTTGCTTATTTACTTCGTTGGAAAACACGCACACAATTTTGGCGGTTCTGGAGATCCGATCCCCAGGCTATGGAAAGGAATGATGAAGGCATCCTTCGGTGTGAGGCAGCATACACCGAAACTCCTATGCATCCTTCAAAACTACCAGTTACCCTTTGGCCTCCCCATAGGCTGTTGCTCATTCCTGAAGGAATGCTGGAAGTCACTGTGGTGGTGGTGGTGGTGGGGGGTTGAGAGGGCACAGGTGAGTGTCCAGTGTCACAGGTCCATGGACTAGTTTCTAACGATTTCAACAGGACCCTGCAGCAGAAGATCTGGCCTGGCATCCCAAGCCCGGAGAGTGAATTTGAGGGTCTCTTCACCACCCACAAGGGTAACTTCCAGGTAGGTGACCTGCTTGTTTTCTCTGTTCCTGGGGCCGCCTGCTGCCACACATTGAAGCCATGCCTCTGAGCCCGTAGGTGTTCTCTTTCCAGCTATGGCTGCTGCAGCGTGATGGTTGTCTGTGGTGCAGCCCAAGCAGCTCCTTCCCTGAGGATCCACCTGCCCACCTAGAGGTCCTCTCAGAGCGACACTGGGGAGTGACTCAGGCTGGGGATCCAGGGGCAGATGACAAGGGGCCCTTACTGGAGCCAGTGGGCAGTGAGCATGCCCAGGACACCTACCTGGTATTGGACGAGTGGTTGCTGCCCCAGAGCCCATGCACTGAGAACCTCTCAGGGCCTGGGGACAGTATGGACCCTGTGACTATGGATGAAGGCTCAGAAACATCTTCCTGCCCCTCTGACTTGGCCTCAAAGCCAAGCCCAGAGGGTGCCTCGCCTTCCAGCTTCGAGTACACCATCCTGGACCCCAGTTCTCAGCTCCTGTGCCCGCGGGCTCTGCCCGCCGAGCTACCTCCCACTCCACCTCACCTGAAGTACCTGTACCTGGTGGTGTCCGATTCTGGCATCTCAACAGATTACAGTTCAGGGGGATCCCAGGGAGTCCACGGGGACTCTTCTGATGTCCCCTACTCTCACCCCTATGAGAACAGCCTTGTCCCAGACTCGGAGCCTCTGCGTCCCAGCTATGTGGCCTGCTCCTAGGACTCCAGCCTACAACTTCTTGAACGGGATTGGTGAGGCCATACTTAAGTCAAGGCTGATCTTGGCCCTCTGCCCAGAAAGTGGCAGCCTTGCAATGTTAAGATGAAGAGTTATCTGTCTGTATATAGAAATATATATATATCGATTTTTCTACTATGACTTTGTCTTCTTTGTGTATGTATGTATGTATGTATGTATGTATGATATGAGTGTGGGTGCATGTATGCCTCAGTTCATGTATGGAAGCTGACCCTCTCATCTTGAGGCCAAGCACCTTGTTCCTGCCTTATTTCCGTTTCCAGGTTAGCTGTCTGTGTGCTTGTTTGTCTCTCCTATCTGCCTTCCATCTTGCCTTTAGGTTGCTGCAAAGACTGTACTATAACCCTCAGAGTTCTTTTGCTGGCCCATATTTTAGTTGTTTGAGACATGGTAGCTGAAGGTGAACTTGACCTCCTGATGCTCCTGACTCTTAACTCCCAAGTGCTGGGACTCCAGGCAGGCTCCATCACACCCAGAGCCCATGGTGCTGGGCTTGAACTTGAGCTTCATGCATGTTAGGCAGGAGTTCTAAGCTACAACTCGTCCTCTGCCATGGCCTCAGACCCCATCTTTGCCCGGCCCTGGCCCATGGACGTAAACAGCTAGCACTGAATTTTTGGATCTTTTGACATGAAGACAGAGTATCATGTCAGTGTACTTTTTACTAGCTGCCAGTACACGCTGCTCCAAACCTAGTGCCTTATCCACTGCTGGCGGCACTACTCCTGCGGGACACGAACAGACATCTACTTGCCCAGATAGAAAACCCAAGTACACATATGTTCAGGAATATGGGTGAGGGGTTCCTCATGGGAGTGGAAGTGACTCAGGCAGATGTATAACCAAAGCCCACCCTAGCATGGGTGACAATTCACAAAAGCTGTCACAGTGAGAGAATTCCTAACCACTGAGCTCTCTCTCTCTCTCCAATTCCCTAGTTTTTGACTTTGAGACTGGGTCTTACTATGTGGCCCTCGTTGGCCTAGAACTTGCCATGTAGACCAGGCTGGGCTTAAACACATACATACAGGTCCACCCATCTCTATGCTAGGATTAAAGGCCTGTGCCACCACATCTGGTTCATTTTGGTTTTTTAAAACAGGGTCTAGTGTAAGCCAGCATGGCTTCCAACTCCTTATGTAGCCAAGGATAGCCCTGCACTTGGGATCTCCTACCTCTACCTCCCAAAGCTGGCCGTTTTGCACACCATCAGTCTGATGACTTAAAAACTGTTGTTCCTAAGAAAGCTAGACATATGCATACTCTATATGCAGTGAACCCACTCCCACCGTACACCCGAAACACACGTGCAAGCTCATGTGTGTGACTAGACCCCTAACAGTACGTAAGTCATCACACAGAGGTAACTGGGATACAGGCACCCATGGAATGCACAAGAGCCAAGAACAGATGCATAGTCCATTGGCTCCACCCTTAAGAGATGAGACTGGAGGATCAGGAGTTCAAGGGGAGCCTCAGCTAAGTATCTAGTTTGAGGCTAGTTTGACTTACAAGAGAACCTGTCTGGTAAAAATGCAGCAGATAAAAAGAACTGACAGAGGAAATATGGCTGAATCTCATTCACAACGGTGAGTGGGCAGAGGGAGGCTCCAGTGTTCTGACGTATCTTAAAGGTTTCATTATTAATTTATTATTAGCATGGAGGGCATATGTGCGCCTCTACCCAAATGTGGAGGTCCGAAGACAACTTGCAGGAGTCAGTTCTGTCTTTCTATCATGTGGGTCCTGGGAATCAGTCAAGTTCTCATGCTTGGTGCCAAGGCCCCTGACCTCCTGAGCCATCTTGCCAGCCCACGACCACAATATTAGTTTATACACAGAAAACCTACATTTTTTTCAAGTCTTTGAATCTGCACCTGTCCCTGAAGTAAGTATCCCATCCAAGGGAAACCCAGGACCAGGGAGGTTGTCACACCCCAAAGTTAAGAACTGGCTTCCAGCACTTGAATCTTTTTTATCTGGGCTGAGCTCAGAAGCCTGGGCAGGCCATGGGGTTATCTTCATCTCTCCTCCGGGTAAGAAAGTCACTGACCACTCTGTTCTGGGGCTCAGCTTGTCCAACTCTAGGCTAGCTCGAAGGCAGCAATGCTGTCCCAAGTCTAGGGCATCTGGCTGCAGGCGGCACTGTGCAGGAAAATACCGCTGAAGTAATGCCAGATGTGGGCCATCGCCATCTGCTTCTTTTTGGGTTTCAAGGGCCACCACAAGCCCACAGCTGCCACTGGCTCCAAGACGGAGGCTAAAGTAGGCAGCGGTATCTAGAAGCAATGCAGTCAAGAAGGCAGCTTCCTGGGCACCCGGATCCTCTGCTAGATATTCTTCCAGGCCATCCAGGAGCAGAAGGGATGGGGCAGGTGCTGGGGCCTCGTGGGCTGAGGCTAGAAGCTGGAGAAGCTCTTGAATTGAGGATGGGTACTGGAATCGAATCTTCTAGAAGATAGGAAAAGGAAAGATTTAATATAGAAGGTCAAAACACCCTATTATAGCTACCTCACTTCTATACTTTCTGGTCGAGGCTCTCATGGTCCATATGGAAAGTTCCAGAAAAAAGCACCAGCTCCTCTTCTCCAGAACTTTGCCCAAGATTATTTAAGGAAAAAAAAAATTTTTTTTTCTTTGATACAGGGTCTCATGTAGCCCAGGATGATCGCAAACTCGTTTTGCAACCAAGGATGGTCTGACACTTTTGACCTCCTGCGATCAGAATCCCAGGTATATATTACCAAGTTTGATTAAAGGGATAGAAGAAAAAACAAAACCCCAGGGCTTCGCGCATGTTAGGTAAGTTCTCTATTGAGTGAGCCCCTGAATCTTTTTTGTTGTTTTTTGTGGTTTGTTGTGGCTTGGCATCCATGCCCATGCTCGCCAACGCCGCCCGACCACAGAACAGTCTTTCATTTAATCTTAACTAAACTCGCACTGTCCCGTCCCTCGTGCCTACTCCGCCTCTTCCACCCACCACTTCCACATAGGCTTTATGACGATTTAGGTGTCTACGATCCACGCTACCATTTGCCTATCGAACTGTCACTCATATAGAACCTAGCCTGCTATTGGGTGACGTATTGTTAGGTCCAGCCCTCCGGTTACCTGGAGCCGCCAATGGTCTCGCGCTGCGGGTGTACTGAGCGGCAGGCTCTGAAGGGGCCTTCGTGTCAGGAAGAGGACGGGCCCGCGGCCTTCCCCTGCCGCCTCAAGGGCGGCTGCAAACAACAGCGACGTCTGCGCAGAGCGCGGAGCGCCGAGCAACAGCAGTGGCGGCCCAGCAGAGCCATCCTCTCCAGGCTCTGCCGCGCGGCCGGCATTCAGCACACGCCTCAGCGCCTCCGCCATTTGCTAAGTACCTCTAGCCAATCGGAAGCGAGGTCTCCTCTTGGGCCCGCCCACACCGATACCTCATTGGCTATTCACAGTCTCGGTTAGTGGCAGGAGCTGTTAGCAAATAGTCAAAACACGGAGAGTGGAGGAGATGGGTTCTTGAGGGAATCTACTGCAAGAAGCCGCGTGATCGATTAAAAGGAAGGGCGAGGGTCCAAACGCGCTCCCCAGAGACGCCCACCCTCTAGGTCGGAGCTGAAGAGAATGGCTCAGCCATTACGAGCGAGCACTGGCTCCTCCTCCAAAAGACCCGGGTTCAGTTCCCACCACCTACTAGGTGACTCACAGCCATCCATAACTACAGTTTGAGGGAGTCCGACGCCCTCTTCTGGCCTCCGCGGGCACGTGGCACACATATTCATGGCCCCGCGCAGGCACGCACACACATGTAAAAATAAATACAAAAAATAAAAAAGTAGAAGCGGGTCGGTGGTGTCACGTTCCTTTAATTCCAGCATATGAGTGGCCGGGGAAGATGGATCTTTCTGAGTTCTGAGTTCGAAGCCAGGCTAGAGAAACCGTCTCAAAAAGAGGAGGAGGAGGAAAAAGAGGAAGAGGATTAAGAGGAGGAGGAGAAGGTCCCCTTAGCTATATATTGAAGTTTGCAACCAGCCTGAGCTACATGAGCACCTATCTTTAAAACAATAATAATAAAACCAGAATCTTAGCTTGCCCACCTGCAAAATGAGTATTGTGATTCCGTGTGATCATTGCAATGTGTTGGTGTGAATATTTGCTAATGTCACCGAAGGAAAGTTCACAGTTGGAAAGGGATACCTGCTTGCTTGTCTCTGTTTATTGGAATATGGGGATGGTTTTTATGGGCTACAGACGCATAGATTTTGGCTTTTTTTTTTTGGTAGGGTCCCAGACATTTTAGCCTGTGCCAGCATGATAAGTTAATGCAAGGCTGGAGATGAAATTCAGGGTTTTGTACATGCTGAGCAAACCCTCGGCAAACTACCACACCCCAGGCCTCGATGGGGGTTCTTCCATTCATTTAGTTGGTGTGCATGTGTATATACTCCCATGACACAGGTGCATGTGCTCTGAGAACAATTTCTGGGATGGAATGCAGTTCTTTCTCCCCCACCACGTGTGTTCCCTAGATGACAGATCTTCAGGGCTGGTGGCAAGAGTCCTCTAAGCCATCTCACTGGCCCTGATTTCTGTTTGTTTTTTTTTTTTTAATCTCTGACACAAAGCATTCCATATGATATCTCCACTTCACACTCCATACCCTGCCCCTTGCACACACACGAGTACACACACACACACACACACACACACGAGGACACACGTTGCGATGACTGTGTGATTGGGATTCTTCATACATCCTCAGCACAGTGTGTGTGTGTGTGTGTGTGTGTGTGTGTGTGTGTGTGTGTGTGTAGGATCACCTGTGCCACCCGGAGCGTATGGAGGTCAGTCCTTGCCTTCTACCTCATTTGCAGTAATGTGTCTTGTTCACTGCTATGTATGCCAGACTGAACGGCCATCACAGCCCCCCACGAGACGATGCTCCCTCCCAGGCTCCCTGTATAAGGGCTCTTGATGAGGCCTGTCATCTAACTTTCTCTTTGGCCTGGGGCCTTCTTAATGCTTGCTTATACTGAAGGAAGAGAGAACAGTTTGTGGAGAGAGAGAGAGAGAGAGAGAGAGAGAGAGAGAGAGAGAGAGAATATAAATAAGAGAATGAGGGCTTTGGTTGCTTCATTCACAAGAGTCTATGACCACATTGGAGAAGTGTAATTCTTGTTAAGTCACTGAATGAAGGAGGAAGAACTGAACCAAGGTGAGTGATCCTGATTGCTCAGCCAGTCTCTTCACCCAAACTTGGCTCTAGAGCTATCACTCAAACCTGTGTTTCCCTGGAAACCTTGTCTCCTAGTAACTTCAAAGTGGTATGGTTGCCTGGAGACCCAGGAACAGGGCGGAACTGTGATTTCCTGAGCTTACTCTCTCCCTCTGGGGACAGAAAGCAGCTCTGCAACATCCCCCAGTACACCCACACACACAGCTGGGCACCCCTCACCCTGTGCACACACACATACCATGCACCCACACACTGCACACACGCATACACAAACACCCTGCACACACACACTGCCACACACACGTACCATTCACACACACCCCTGTATGCTGCACACACACATAAACAGCTCAACCCTGACACAAAGCATTCCATACGATATCTCCACTTCACACTCCATACCCTGCCCCTTGCACACACACGAGTACACACACACACACACACACACACACACACGAGGACACACGTTGCGATGACTGTGTGATTGGGATTCTGCATACATCCTCAGCACAGTTACTCTGTTCTAGGAAGTCTGATGTTTCAGCCTCCAGCCCCCACCCCAGACACAGCCTGACAGGACAAAGCTTAAAGTGCACAAGCCCCAGACCACAGGAGCACGCTTTTCACATCTTCCTCCTTGCCTGGAAGGGTTAGCTCTAAGGGCTCTGTCTAGCTCTGTCTAGTTCGTTAGTTTGTTGGTTTGGTCTCTTACTTCCCTCCCTTCCCCTCAACACACAGGGCCCCACATGTACTAATTGAACATTTTTTTCTTTTTCTTTTGTCCCCACTTAATTTTTTTGGTCTATTTTTGTTTTATGGCTGTAAATGTTTGCCCATATGCATTATGTGGCATTGTGTCCACCACATGAGCCTGGTGCCCTTAGAAGTCAAAACTGGGCCACCATATGAGTGCTGGGGACTGCATCCAGGTCTTCTTAAGCAGGGTTTCTCTGTGTAGCCCTGGGTGTCCTTGCATTTACTCTGTCAACCAGGCCTCAAACTCAGAGATGCACCTATCTCTGCCTACTGAGTGCTAGGATTAAAGGTGTGGACCACCACTGCCTGTCTTTTTTTTCCCCCAATGTATATGAGAATATTGTAGACACACCAGAAGAGGGCATCAGAGCCCATTATAGATGGGCCACCATGTGGTTGCTGGAACTGAACTCAGGACCCCTCTGGAAGACTGGTCAATATTCTTAACCACTGAGCCATCTCTATAGTCCTTTGTTTTCTTTCTAAATTGAGACTTTCATTTCCTTAAGTTGACTAGTTTGGTCTTGAACTTACTGTGTAGTCCAGGCAAGCGTTGAACTCATGACCTTTCTGTCTCAATCTCATAAATAGCTGAGATTTCAGGCTGCAGCACTAGTTCTAGCTGCCATTTGTTCTCCGTGTGTTTGTGCGCGTGCGAGTGTGCATGTGCGTGTGCGTGTGTAAACTTGTATGTGTATGGGTATTTTGTCTGTGTGTATGTATGTGTAGCATTAATGTGCAGTGCCCATGGAAGCCAGAAGAGGGCATTAGATCTCCTGGAATTATAGCTACAGATGATTGTGAGCCACCATGTGAGTGCTGGAAATCAAACCCAGGTCCTCTAGAAGAGCAATAACTGCTATTAACTTCTGAGGGGGCATCTATCCAGGCATCATCATCATTTTTTCACCATCATCATTATTAATTTTCTCTTCCTCTTCCTCCTCCTCTTTTTCTTTTTTGTTCTTTTCTTCTTTTCCTTTGAGTTATTTATAAGTATTTTATGCAAATTCAAATACATAGAAAGTTCAATCTCTTTAAAAAAAATATTTTATGTATGTGGCAGTTTTTCCTGCAAGTATGTCTGTGCATAAATGTGTGTCTGATGCCTGCAGAGGCCGGAAGAGTGAGAGTCCCTGGAAGTGGAGTTGCAGACAGCTGTGGGTGCTTAGAGTGAACCTGGGTCCTCTGGAGATGCAGCAAGTGAGCCAACTCTCCAGCATTTAAACATTTTAAAATGTACTCATTTTTCTATGAGCCTGTGTGTAACTGTGGGCGTTGTAATGCTGCACAAGAAGCAGAGGATGATCTGTGGGAGCGGGGATCAGCTCTCTCCTTCCACTGTGTGAACCCTGAGATTTGAACCCAGGTCGTAAGGCCTGATGGCAGGCCTTTTTATCTACTGAGCTATATTGTTGACCCCCACTTTTTTTAAACTTCATTGAGTCTCTGACTGAACATTGCCTGCTTGTAGAGGTTTTTCTTGAAAGGTGTCCAAAACTAATGTGTTCCTTTATTTGTTTTGTTGTTTGTTTGTTTGTTTTTTGTTTTTTTGAGACAGGGTTTCTCTGTGTAGCCCTGGCTGTCCTGGAACTCACTCTGTAGACCAGGCTGCCCTCAAACTCAGAAATCCACCTGCCTCTGCCTCCCAAGTGCTGGGATTAAAGGTGTGCACCACCACTGCCTGGCTCCTTTTTTTTTTTTTTTTAAAGATTCATTTCCTTTAAAAATTTAAGTGTGTGTGTGTGTTTTACTCACATGTATGTGCACCATGTGTGTACCTTGTGCCCCAAGAGGCCAGAAGAGGGCATCAGATCCCATGAAACTGAGTTATGAATAGTTGTGAGCTGCCATGTAGGTGCTTTGGATTAAACCCAGATCTTCTGGGAAAAAAAAAAAGCCTCTCTAGTACTTTATGTTTTTTCAGCATCATCATCTTTATTATTATTAGTGTATGTCTGTATGTATGTGTCTTTGTGTCTGTGTTTGTGCCTGTGTGTATATGTCTTTGTGTGTGTGTCTTTGTGTGTGTCTGTGTGTTTGTGCCTGTGTGTGTGTATTTGTGTGTGTCTGCGTGTGTTCATGTGTGTATGTCTGTGTGTATATGTGTGTGTATCTGTATGTATGTGTCTGTATGTATTTGTGTGTGTTTGTGTGTCTGTGTGTACATGCACATGATTGGGGAGCTATCACATGGTAAGCATGGGGAAGTCAGAGAACAACCTTATCTGGTTCTCTTCTTCCACCTTTACCTTGGTTCTGGAGACTAAACTCGGGTTAACAGGCTTTGCAACAAGCATCCATAGTTGCCGAGCTATCTCCCCGTCTCAGCTTTGTCTTTATATCTCAGGCATCTCCAGGCTGGCTTCCGACTCACTATATTGCTGAGAACAACCTTCAGTTTTGGATCCTACTGCTTTTATCTCCCAGGTGCTTGGGTTACAAGCATACATCATCACGCCTGGCCACAAACATTGTTATATATCGAGGATGAAACATAGACAAATGATCTACCACTGAGCTTGATTCCCAGCCCTAGAGAAATTTAGGAGTTAATTTGTACCGTCTACCCATTCGTGGTATGCATCTAAACAAGAGCATGCCACATCCCTCCTCAGCAGGCCAGTTTTCTTCCAAGCCTTTCAGGCCTTCTGTTGCTCTTTCCCAGAGTCAGCACCAAGGACAGAGTCATCCTAGCGCTGTCCGCGGTTCTGAAACTCTGATTCCCTCCCCGACAGACCAGTAAGTTTTAAGGCCCCCGCTGGCCTCACAAATGAGGTGTATGTGCTTTACAAGCAACCCTGGTCGGTCAAGATGGAGACTCTATGATCAAGTTATCCTTCTCGTTGGTGATCGCACCGTGGCCAGCTACCAGTCCCTCCACCTCCCGGACCACCTCCTCTTTCTCTGTTTGCTCTGTCCACTCACAGAGTCCAAACCACACAAAGGTCCTAGTTCTTTCCTGGAGACATCAGGCATGGGGCTTAGGCCTTAGAACCTTGGCACTTGCTGTCTTGTGTTCCTGGGGTTCTTACTGCCACACACAGCACACACAGGCTTCCCAGACATTCTTGTGATTCCTTTTCTTCCTTCTTTTCTCACCAATGCTGTTTTCTTCACAGTGGACTTCCAGGAAAACTCTTTAAATCTAATATCCTGTTTTCATCAGAAAGTTGCACACGCACTTTCTCCTTCCCTGCCGATGTAGCCCAGGCTGGCTTCTAACTCACTGCTTAGCCAAGGACCGCTGTGGACTGCTTGTCTTCTTGCTCTTCCCCCTCTCAAGTACTGAGACCGCGCACATGAGCCACCACCCACTCTGAAATTGTTTCTTTACCTTCACTTACTTAGTGGATGGGAAGTGACACATGCTGAGGTATCACTTGCGTGGATTGGTTCTCTCTTCCTGCCCAGTTGTTCTGGGGCAACAAGCTCAGGTTTGGCATCAAGCAAATCACAGTGAGCCATCTCTCCAGCCCCCTCCCCCAATTTTTTTTAACTTAAAAAAGAAACATTTAAATATTTTTCTTTTGTGTGTGCATGCCATGTGAGTGTAGGTACCCCAGAGGCAGAGGAGAGCATCAGATCTCTTGAACTTATATCCAGTTGTAAGACATCCTACATGAGTGCTGGGGTCAGGACCTAGCTCAGCCACGTCTCCAGGCTCTCTTTAAAATAACTATCATCACCACCACCACCGCCCTCATCACCACCATCATCATCGTTGTCATTAGGGAGGGGGACAGGGAGGACTGCCACAGTGTACATATGGACCTCCCGGTTGTCTCTCCCTTCCTCTTACCCTGGGATCTGGGGCTGGACCTCAGATTGTCAGACTCTGAGAAAACTGTGTTCACCCGCTGAGCCATGTCCCTGGCTCCCGCGCCATCTTACATCCCTGGCTTGAGTTTTCTACTGATCAAATATCAAAACCTAACATTTCAGAGCTCTTAAACTCAGGTATTGGGTGTACATCTGTACTCCCAGAACTCAGGAAGCCGAGGATGGTCATGGGCTACATAGTGAGACCCTTCTCCAAATCAAACAAATAGAAATCTCAAGCCCTTACCTAAATAATTGAACACAGGGTTTTCAGCTTCACTGAGTTTCAGATCTGGGGCTTTTGTGGGAGGCGGTAACTAACAGGGTCTCAGGTAACTCAAACTGACCTCTAACTTGCTATGTACTCAGAAATGATCCTGACCTCCAGATCCCCGCATCCTCCTCCCGGTGCTCTGTCTGTAGCTGTGCGTCACTATGCCGGGTTTATGAGGTGCTGAGGACCTCACTGACTTCGCGGTCACACTGCCTCTCCACATGTGTCCTTAGATACGGGTGACAAACACCCAGAGTCACTGCCGTCTAGAGACAGAGTTGTGGCCTCATCCATCTCCTAACACTCGGGGGAGGCAGGCAGAAGGCCAAACTTCTGTTACAAACAGGTCTTTATTAAAGATGGGGGGCAGGAAAGGGGGACAGAGCCTCATCTGCCCACTGCCTTTGGCTATTCAGGGTAGGGGAACCCCCTTCTGCTCCACCCATGTCCCCCAAGATGGCACAACTGCATGAGGCTGGGGCATGGGGGCAGTGTGAAGAAGGAGGGTGGGTCCCAAGAAAATAAAGTCTTTTTCCACAGCCCTAATAAATAATAGACGGTTAGGGAGGGGGGTGCCCTAGGCACAGCCAAGGGAGACAGCATCCGGAACTCCAAAACCTGTGAACTGGGGCAAGCCCTACTTAAGTAGGGGGTTGGAGGGTGTGAGATGGTGCACCTGGGGAAGGGCTAGAAAGGAAGGGGTGCCGCAGGACCCTGCTGTGGGGGAGCCTGCCCCCCTACCCTCCAGCTGGACTCCATGTTCCCGGGGAGAGACTGGACAGCCCTCCTTGGCTTTGACACGGGCGGTCCCCCATTGACTGGAATCATTCCCACCCACTCTCAGCAATTCTGAACCCCAAGGGCTCTTATTGGCAGTTTAGACACTGCACACTGGCCAGAGTAGCACCCTCTTGCTTGAGGAAGCTAAGAAGTGAGAGGTTCCCATAAACTGTTGTAAACTTTTGGGTTGAATTCTGAGAACTTGGAGCTCTCACTGGCTAGGCAATGGCCAGTTGGGTTAAGCATCAGCCGTTAAAAGGGCAATCCTAGGGACATGGGCCCACCTGGTTATTTTTGCCTACCCAGATGTCCCAGAAGGCCAAAGAGCAGCCAAGAGATTCCCTGCCTTGAAGCGTCCCTTCCAGCCATCTTCTGACGCTGGGCCTGGCTGGTTTGGAGGGCAAGGGCCTTTAGCACTTACGTGCCACACGCACGCGTGGCAGGGGGAAACAGGGAATACTGGGTAGATTTTAGGTGGTGGGTCTCACAGCAGGTGGTCGCGGCTGGCAAACAGATAAGGGCTGAAGTTGTCGCGGTGGAAAGGGGAGGGATGGAGTCCACTGAGGGTGTACAGGTCCCGTAGCAGGGGCGTGGGCAGCAGTAGCTTCCGGCCACGCCCACCTCCCCCGCTTGGGCCCCCGGGTCCAGGGGAGGAAGGCGAGGGACCCTGGCTGGGAGTCGGTGCAGGAAGGGGCAGCGGCAGAGGCAGGGGTGTTGGCTCAGACCTCAGTCGAGGGCGGGGCACACGGGGCGAGGAGCACATCGCTGGCGCCCTGGAGGACACACAGCTGGGAATCAGGTGGCCACGGCGGGCACAGTTCTGCGGCTCTAGAGATGACAATCGGAGATCAAGAGGTTAGCAAACCTGGGAGGGTGGCACCAAAGCCCAGACCAGATGAGACCTCTGCCCACCTGGAAGAGCCCCCTGTTTACCTCCCACCCTTAAACACACACACACACACACACACACACACACACACACACACACGCTTCCCCAGCACTTACTGGATGGGGTGAGCCGTGCCGGTGTCGAATGCGGCCTGGAGGTCTCGGGTTCCTGGGACAAAAAATAAGAGGGGAGGGGCTAGAGGATCCCAGGAGCCCACAACTCACAGTCAAAAATGACTGACCAGCCACCTGCCCCCATGGAAACCGCAACAGAGAACCTCCAGATTAGTGATGTAAATTAGAGAGGGAGAGACAGAGTGTAGTCTTCCATTCCGTAAGGTGGTTTTCTTCCTAGGACTTCCTCCCGAGGGCTGGGTGGCTCCTCTACCCCCATCTCCTCCCATGGCAATGACACCTCTTACTTGACTTCCTACCTCCATGGGCCTCCTCTACCCGCCACCCTCTCCAGCACGGAGTAACTCCCGGGCCCCCTTACCTGGGCCACACTTAACTTTTCGAGGGGGCTGTCCATGGTGGGAGCCTGGCTCAGGTCCTCCCAGGGGGAGAGCCTTCGACCAGAGTGGGGTCGGCTCTGGAAATTGTGCACAACACAGGTAACCTAGGCCAGATAGACAGGGGCAGGTTGAAGCCTGAGATCAACAACACAAAATTATGAAAATACCCTCTCCATTTTTCAGATAGAAACTGAGGCTCGAATTTCCAGAGACATACATCCTTTCTTGACAATTTTACTTTTTACTTCTTGACTTTTTTTTCTTTTGAGACAGGGTCTCTCTATGGCTATCTGGAAACTCTCTGTGTAGGCCTGGCCTGGCTTGAATGCAAGAGATCCATTTGCACCTTCCCCAGAGTGCTGAGATGCATGCACCACAACACCCAGCTGCATTTATGTTTGGCATTTGGAATAATGCAATTATTTGGTATCAATATTGAATTTTTAAAACGTCTTTGAGATTTATTTTTATTTTCTGTCTATAAGTGTTTTGCATGTAGGTCAGTGCATGACCTGTGTGCCTGTGACCAAGGCGGCCAGAAGAGGGCACTAGATTCCCCTGGAACTGGAGTTACAGATGGTCATGAGCCACCATGAGGGTGCTGGGAATTGAACCTAGATCCTCTGCACCAGTGCCGAGCCATCTCTCCAGCCCTGAATATCAATTTTTTACTATCTTGAAAACATTATTTATATTTTAATATCATTGCTTTTTGTGTGGGAGGGTCACCCACAACACACTGCATTTGTGGGGGTCAAATGAAAACCTTTTGCAGTTAGCTCTTTATACCAGTTGAGATCCAGGATGAATTTAGGCTTAGGTGGCAACTGCCTTTACCAGCTGAGCTTTCTCAAAAGCCTTTCTCCAAATGTTCTTCTATGAGGAGCAAAGAATAGCTCACTCTATAGAATGCTTGCCTAGAATTCACGGAGACCTGGGTCCTATCTCCAGCACCATAAAAACAGGGAAGGCACTGATGGGACATATCTAATCTCGGCACTAGGGAGATGAGGCAGGAGGATCAGAAGAACAAAGTTATTCTTGGCTGGATAGCTAGTTCAAGGACAGCCTGAGCTTCATGAGAGCCCGTCTCAAAAAGACCCTCTGTGACTCCAGTTCCAGGGGGTCTAGTGCCCTCTTCTGACCCTCTGTGACTCCAGTTCCAGGGGGTCTAGTGCCCTCTTCTGACCCTCTGTGACTCCAGTTCCAGGGGAGTCTAACGCCCTCTTCTGACCCTCTGTGACTCCAGTTCTAGGAGAGTCTAGTGCCCTCTTCTGACCCTCTGTGACTCCAGTTCCAGGGGGTCTAACACCCTCTTCTGACCCTCTGTGACTCCAGTTCCAGGGGGTCTAATGCCCTCTTCTGACCCTCTGTGACTCCAGTTCCAGGGGAGTCTAATGCCCTCTTCTGACCCTCTGTGACTCCAGTTCCAGGGGAGTCTAGTGCCCTCTTCTGGCCTTCTTGGTCACCAGGCATGTGGGTAGTGCACTGACATTCATGCAAAACACTTATAGACAGAAAATAAAAATAAGTCTCAAAAATGTTTTAAAAATTCAATATCCTTGCCCATATCTTGCCAAAAGTGGTGTTGCACAACTTTAGTGCCTGCACTGAGAAGGCAGAAGTAGACACATCTCTGTGAGTTCAGAGCTAGCTGGTCTACACATTTGCATTCCAAGCCAGTCAGACCTGCATAGTGAGACCCTATAAACCAAGATAGCCTTAGACTCAAGAATTATCTTCCTGCTTTTACTACTCAAGTGCTGGGATTAAAGGGATGTGTCACCATCACTGGCCAAAATATACTTTAAAACTACATTTAGGGGTCTCGGAAGGTGACTCAGCGGTTAAGAGCACTGACTGCTCTTGTAAAGAACCTGGATCCTGCTTCCTGCACCCTCATGGCCCCTCACAACCATCTGTAATTCTAGTTCCTGTACACTGTTATGGCCTCTTCAGGCATCAGACACATGCGTGTGCACTCGCACGTGCGCGGGCACACACACACACTCACAAGCTCATGTTCACACTCACACGTGATGCTTGCACATGCACGTGCGTGCCCACAAACTCACATTTAATGCAGGCAAAACACACAGAATTAAAACTAAATCTTTAATACACAAGTATATCTATATTTTTAAATGTGTGGGTGGTATAGACATTTGTGTATGTGCAGGTGCATGTGTGTGTGTGTGTGTGTGTGTCTGTGACCAAGAGTACACACATGCAGGTGTGTCCACGTGGAGGTCACAGGTTGGTATGTGTGAAAGGTGGAGTCAACCTCTGGCATCAATCCTCAGGAGTGGTCTACCTTGATTTGTGAGACAGAGCCTGTCACTGGCCAGCCAGTGAGCCCAGTGAGGCCCTGCCTCTGCCTTCCTGGTGCTGAGACGGCAAGCACACCACTTCTGCCTCTTGTGTGGGTGCTGGAGATCTGAACTCAAGTCCTTAGGTTTGAAAGGCAAGCACTTTACCAACTGAGCCATCTTCCCCTGTAAAATACTATTTTTCTCAGTTGCTTAGTGTTGTGGCATTCCTTTAAATTTTGCTCCTCATGGTATGACTCTGTTAAACCATTTCACAAATGAGAAAGCAAGCAGACAGGGTCAAAGTAAAGGACAAGTGCCCTCCCCAGGTCACGCAACATCTATTCCCTTCAGTATTATTCTGCCTCTTGTGTCAGGGGCCTGATGAGAGAGAGGTCTTCCATACAGAGATTGGTGGGAAGGGGACTTACCAAAAAGGTGGCAATGGCTGCTCCCGTCAGAAAGCCAGCCAGCACGTCCGACCAGTGGTTGCGATACTCTGCCACGCGGACCACGCCCACCAAGAAGGCGGGGCACAGCAGGGCCAGGCAGAGGGAAGGTTTCACCAGGCGAGAGCCCTTCACGCGGAACACTAGGGTCACGTACATCTGTGGGACCCAAACCGATCAGAGGATTAATCCACACCTTTCAGGCCAGAGCATGGGAGGTTCGAAGGAGTCAGGGGGCAGGGCTCCGCAGAGATGGAGATGTAACCATGCAAACATAAAGATAAGGAGTGCCTGGAATTGGGGCGGCAGTGGTTCTGTATGCAGGTGGTGTGGCCAGAGCGCCAAAAAGAACGGGTGAGGATCTATGGAAGAACATGCTTCCCCGAGACAAGGAAAAATGCTCGCTGTATTAAAGCATGAACCCAGAACTAGGGAGTCCACTCAGCGCCAAAGAGGCAGGTCCCGGAGCTCAGAAGTGGTCTCGGAACCTCATGGAGCCACAGAAGTAGTCTGGGACGAGGGAACTGATGGCATCAGTCATTCCAGAGGCCAGAAAAGGGCAGAAATCAAAGCAACAAAACGCGGGAATAGAGAAAGGCAAGGAATCCAATTAATAAGGTCCAGGGGCGTGACCAAATTAACAAATGGGAGGGGCGAGGGGTCCAGGAGGCGGAGTCAAAGACCATAGGCTTAGTCTCCCAGCCTGCAACTTCTTAGCAACCCCAAGGGGGCGAAGTCCCAAAGGCAGTGTCCAGGACAATAGAGTAGTGAGGAGGTTAGGGCTGGGATGCACCACAAGGGTGTGGCCTCAGCCTTAAGGCTACGTCTCAACGGACATGATCTCCTTCCCATACCTCCCCCAGGTCAAGCTGGCCCCACTTCCAGACCCCTGGTAACTCCCCCAGGGCCTCACCGCAGTATAGGTGACCGCGTAGGCGCACAGGGCCGCATCCTTGCAGGGAAAGGCGCGGCGTGCGGCAGCCACTAAGCTGGGACTGCCTGCACAGGCGCTCTGGTCCGTGACGAAGCGGTCAGGCCCTGGCCGGTCAGGAGATGGCGGTGGGCAGCCCAGGGCTGTGTAGTTGGGGCGACATACCGACAGGAAATGAGGTGTGGGGTTACCGGTCACCACTTGTCCCGCATTCGCAAAGATGGTCGTGGTGAAGAGGCCAAAAGAGTACACTCCTGGCGATGGGGAGGAAAGAGGTCAGTCATATCCCTTCCACACAGTTCCATTAAGCCCCTTGTACTTCTGTCTGTCTGTCTGTCTGTCTATCTATTTACACAGGGTGGTGGTGGAACTCAGGAGGCAGAGGCAGGCAGATCTCTGAGTTAGTGACCTGCCTGGTCTACAGAGAGTTCCAGGACAGCTAGGGCAACACAGAAAAATCCTCTCTTAAAGATTTTTTGTTTTTTTGTTTTTTACATTTACTTATTTAGGGTATATCTATTTATGTGGGCATCGATATTCTTTATGTGGAGGTCAGAAGACAGACAACCTGAGGTATTTAGTTCTTTTCTTCTACATAGGTTCTAGAAATCTGGGTTATCAGGCCTGGCAGCAAGCTCCTTTTGACCAGTCGCTGCTCTCAGTTGTCTTGCTATTACTGGGATGGTCACTCAAACCAATCTGGGGCCCTACTGATGACTGGGCTCACGTGCCCTTACCTCTGGTGCCACCCCCACCCCAACAATAGTATATATCTATAGCCTGTCTCTAAGAAATATTCTTTGTCACAGGCAGGCTCTCCCTGACTCTGTCACAGCTATTCTGGGACCCCTCAGCACCACTGCATTGTGAGTTTGGAACCTCCTAGGAAGACTTTATTGGAGTTTTTGGGGTTCCCCTCTCCTCTTTCTTTCTCTTACAGTTTTTAAGAATTATCTTTGTTTGTGTGTGCTTATGTGTGTGGAGGTCAGAGGACAATGTTTGTCAGACCTAGATGCCTGTCCTTCTAGCATATAGATCGTAGGGACTCAACTTCACCTGCTGAACCCTCTGACCACCACGCCTTTCCCTCAGTTCCCCTCCCCTCCAGGTAGAGTCTAGCTATGTAGCCCTGACTGGCCTTAAGCTTGGTATATATGTAGACCTGGTGGCTAGGAATTTTCAACCTAGCATAGACTTTTAAAAAATGATTTACTTGTTATTTTTATGTGTATGTATGTGTGCCTCTGTGAGTTTATGTGCGCCACATGGGTGCAGGTGGCCACGGAGGCCAGAGTGAGTCAAATCCTCTGGAACTGAGTCACATCCAGCTTGGGCTGCCTGCTGTGGGTGCTGGGACCTGAACTCTGGTCCTCTGCAAAAGCAAAAAAGCACTCCCCGCCACTCAGCCATCTTTCCAGTCCCTGACCAGAACTTCTGAATGTTGAGTTTATAGGAATGTACCAACCCACACAGCTATTTTTTACTTACTTACTTACTTACTTATTTTTAAAGATATTGACTCACTTGGAAGCCCAGGCTAGCTTCCAAACTTGAGATCTCCCTACCACAGCTTTCCAAGTCCTGGGGTTTACAGATGTGCACAACCACACAGGCTGGAACTCTGTGTGTAAGTGCATATGCGTGTTGTGGAGCTAAGAGGATACTTTTGGTTGGCATTCCTCTGTCACCTTCATATTTGGTTTGAGACAGAGCTTCTCACCGGCCTGAAATTTTGGCAAGTAGACCAGCCTGGGTGCCCCAGCTTCCATGAATGCCCCTGCCTCCACCTCTCATCTTACCATCTCTCGGACAACAGATGTGTGCCATCTTTGGCTTTTAAAAAAGATTTTCTTTTACTCATGTGTGTGTACATGCATGTGTATGTCTATGTCCATGTATGTGTGCATGCATGTATCTATGTCTGTGTGCATGCCTATGTCTTTGTGTGAGCATGCCTGCCTGTATCTATGTGTGGGTACATTCACGTATGTGTGTGTGTATGCAGCTATGTGTGTGTGCATGCATCTAAGTGTGTGTGTGTGTGTGTGTGTGTGTGTGTGTGCATGAATCTATATCTGTGGGTGTGCACCACATCTGGAGTATAGTTAGAGGACAGCTCAAGAATTGCTTCTTTCCTTTGACCATGCGGGTCTGGACAATCAAACTCAGGCCAAGCTTGGTGGCAAGCACCTGTACCCAATGAGCCATCTTGATTCACTGGCCTGAGATTCTTTTGAAGGTGGAACTGGCCCATATTCCTTTGTCCCTGAACTCACCTCCCTCCCCAAGACCACCGGACTGACCCCAGGCTGCATTTCTCACCCAGGAAACGGACCAGCCTCCGCAGTGGGGGACTGAAGCGGCAGCAGGCCCCGGATACAATGGTGCTCTCCCCACTGACAGGACTGGCGGAGGGTGGTGCAGGGAAGAAGGCACGGGCCAGTTCCCCCAGCAGGATCTGTGGACAAGACCAAGATGGGGTCTTCCTGGCCTTCAAGGTCAGGGCTACGCCAGCCCCAACCTGGCCTTCCTGCCTTCTGGGAGGTTCTACTCCCTGGCATCCAGCCTGGGTGACCCCACACCATCTCACCGTGAGTGTGGGCCCCGCAGTGACCAGGGCATAGATGAGGGCGGGGGGTGCTCGGCTGGCAGCCTCAGGCCCAGGATACGGCTTGGCATAAGCGCTGTCATAGCAGAAGAAGCCCTGGGTGTGCACAGGGAAGGTGTCGGTGAACTCCAGGCGGTAAGCAAGAAGGACCACGATGCCCAGCAACACAGACTGCAGCCAGGGGCCAGAGAGAAGCAAAAAGAGATAGGTGAGATCAGAGGCCGTGAGGTCAGAGTCAGAGACAAGGAAATGGAGAGAGATGGAGGGAGAGAGAAATTGGAAGATGGATAGTGAAAACAAAAGAGAGGAGGGGAAAAAAGAGTTAATACATTTTAAGCTTCCCAATAACTGTAGCCCCTTTTTTGTTTGTTTGTTTGTTTTTGGTTATTTTTTTGTTTCTGGTTGGTTTCTGTTTTGTTTTTGTTTTTGAGACAAGGCTTCATATAGCCCAGGACAGCTTAGAACTCACTGTGGAATTGGGAACATAGTCCAGGATAGCTTAGAACTCACTATGGAATTGGGAACATAGCCCAGGATAGCTTAGAACTCACTATGGAATTGGGAATATAGCCCAGGATAGCTTAGAACTCACTATGGAATTGGGAACATAGTCCAGGATAGCTTAGAACTCACTATGGAATTGGGAATATAGCCCAGGATAGCTTGGAACTCACTATGGAATTGGGAACATAGCCCAGGATAGCTTGGAACTCTATGGAATTGGGAACATAGTCCAGGATAGCTTAGAACTCACTATGGAATTGGGAACATAGCCCAGGATAGCTTAGAACTCACTATGGAATTGGGAACATAGCCCAGAATAGCTTGGAACTCACTATGGAATTGGGAAAATAGCCCAGGATAGCTTAGAACTCACTATGGAATTGGGAACATAGCCCAGGATAGCTTAGAACTCACTATGGAATTGGGAACATAGCCCAGGATAGCTTGGAACTCACTATGGAATTGGGAACATAGCCCAGGATAGCTTAGAACTC